TACCTAGTGTCCTACTGTTGTTTACTGTTTGCAGTGGTGGGACAACAGGCGGGCTGTTTGGGTGTACATAGCATCCTACTGTTGTTTACTGTTTACTGCAGTGGTGGGACAAGCGCGCTGTTTGAGTGTACATAGCATCCTACTGTTGTTTACTGTTTACTGCAGTGGTGGGAGAACAGGCGAGCTTTTGAGTGTACATAGCATCCTACTGTTGTTTAGTGCAGTGGTGGGACAACAGGCGGGTTGTTTGAATGTACCTGACGTCCTACTGTTGTTTACTGTTTACTGCAGTTGTGGGACAACAGATGGGCTGTTTAAGTGTACCCGGTGTCCTACTGTTGTTTATTTATTTATTTATTTATTTATTTTGTCTTTGCAAACAGTACATTGAGAGTTTATATTTACAATAGTTGGTTGCAATGCAAAGAGAGCCTCTATTATGCCTAGGCATTATGGGCCAACTTAACAGACTACTTAACACTAAGGATTTTATCATAGTTGTACAGTAGGGCAGTAATTATTTCATAGTTGAACAGTAGATTAATTATAAGTGAATTAAATTTGTATAAGACAAAGGATATATTCATATACTCTAAAATGCTTTTTGTGAAAACAGTGGTTCAATTATTTTCCTGTCAATAATGGATAAAAGGGTCAAAGTGATTGTTGAAGTTATGATGTGGGCGTACAGAGGTGAGTATGTGTGTACCGAGTATTTAGCATTTAGTCTAGGGTGATTAAGTGGCTTTTGAAAAGAGTCTTAAACTGATTTTCAGACTGGGTTACTTTAATATCTTCTGGTAATGAATTTCATATTTTAGGGCCCTTTATGTGCATAGAGTTTTTACAGAGTGTGATAAGGACACGAGGTATATCAAAAAGAGATCTGTGTCTTGTGTTGTGGTCATGTGTCCTGTTTAAGTTGGTGAGAAGTTTGAGTGGAGGGTTTACATTTGCGTGTATTGTTCTGTGTATGTAGTAGGCACATGAATAAGTATGGATGTTCTTCAAGGTGAGCAGATTCAGACTTTTGAAAATTGGTGGAGTGTGCTGGCGGGAGTGGGAATTCGTTATCATTCTTACTGCTGCCTTTTGCTGGGTTATGAGGGGTTTTAGGTGATTGGATGTTGTTGATCCCCATGTACAAATTCCATATGTAAGATAAGGGTATATGAGTGTATGGTACAGTGCCAGGAGAGCTGATTGTGGAACGTAGTACCTTATCTTTGATAGTATGCCTACAGTCTTGGAGATTTTCTTGGTGATTTGTTGTATGTGTGTCCGGAACTTAAGGCTGCTGTCAAGGTGGATACCTAGGAATTTTCCCTCTGTGAGTCTTGTGACTGATGATCCATTTAGCGTTATGTTAATCGGATCATTTGCAGCTTTGTTTCCAAACTGAATGAAATAGGTTTTATCAGTATTCAGGGTAAGTTTATTAGTCATCATCCAGGCAGATATTTTCTGCAATTCGGCATTGACTGTGTTTGCTAGTATGACCGTGTTTGGGTGGGAAAAGACATATGTAGTGTCATCTGCAAATAATATGGGTTTGAGTAGCTGTGATGCATTCGGTAGATCATTGATGTAGATGAGAAAGAGGAGTGGTCCAAGGACGCTTCCTTGTGGGACTCCTACTTTGATTGGTTGGGTGGAAGAGTTTGCATCATTTGCATACACATATTGAGTTCTGTTACTAAGGTATGATTTTAGGTAGTTGAGGGAGTGGCCTCTGATACCATAGCGCGTTAATTTGGAGTACAGCAGTTCATGGTCGACTGTATCGAAAGCTTTACGTAAATCAATGAAAATACCCAGCGGGACTTTTTTCTTTTCGAGTGTAAGTAAGTAAGTAAGTTTATTCAGGTATACACAAATACAGTTACATAGAATTATCATACATAGCAGCATATGTGTAGAGAACCTAGGATAACCCAAAAAAGTCAGACAGTGACTTATTTCCATTGGGGTATATATTAGTTCTAGCATGTGTATGATAGCATCATTCGTACTTTTATTATTCCTGAATCCAAACTGACAATGGTTTAATATGTTGTGTGAGACAACATATTTTAAAGAGCAGTGGTAAGTTAGATATTGGTCTATAGTTATTCAAGTCAGCTTGGTCACCTCCTTTGTGGATCGGAGTGACCCTCGGTATTTTGAGGATTGTTGGGAAGGTAGATGATTCAATGGATTTGTTAAAGAGCGTTGCAATAATTAGTTGCATTAATTAGTGACAATACTTGAGAAACTTTTTTTGTACATAAAAGCAGGAAAGTTGTTTATGTCTCCTGCCTTGTTTTTAAGGGTGTTTATGATGAGTGTAACTTCTATGGGGTTGGTTGGAGCTAGGAATAGCGTATTTGGGTAGGTACCTATGAGGTAGTCTGATGGGCGGGTGTTTACGCTTGGTATTTTGTTCGCTAAATTTTTACCTATAGTGGAGAAGAAAACATTGAGTCTGTTTGCTGTTTCAGTAGGTGTGAGTGGGGGTTCATCTGATTTTAGTAGTTTGATTGTTTGTTTTTGGATAACTTTTTATTTCCAAGAATTTCAGATAGAGTTTTCCAGGTTTTTTTTATATCACCTTTGATGTTATGTAATCTATTTTCATAATACAATTTTTTAGATCTTATCAGGCTGGTAAGTGCTGACGAGTAACGTTTAGACTGTTCTCTAGTTATTAGACCCATTCTCTACTGTTTTTCATATTTGTGCTTTGTGTTAATGGATTTGAGAATGCTTGGTGTTAGCCAGGGATTATTCAGTCTCTTTGCTGTGATGTTTAGTTTTTTGGGGGCAATGTTTGTTATAGAGGCTTTGGGCCTTTTTTTAGAAAATTATTTATACTGTGGAAAATTTCATTTATCTGAATGTATCATTATGTACATAACAGTAAATGAACAGATAATTATTATTTATCAGTTTGACAAGTAGGAATTTGGGACACCTAGGTCGCAAAAAATATCCCCCTTCGATACCTACCACTGTCATATCCACAAGTTGCTCTGGACCTATTAATTAAATGAAATATACATACATCAGGAATGCTGGTAAATATATAAATTTGTGGACTGTTTATTAAATTAAAAAATGATTATATATAAACACATTTATATAACAGGAGAATATATCTTAATCATAACACTCACCAATTTGACTGGAGATTGAAGTGTATCATACTCAGAAAACCCCCCTGTCTACATTTATGATAATACTACTGGCCAGAACTATAAACATAATATAGACATGACTTAGCTGGGGTTCCTGGAGCTGTCTTGTCCAGTCGCCTGATATCTCAAGTTATGCAGGAATGCACATCCAACAATTTCGCCTCCTATTTGAGAGGTTATTATTATTATTATTAAAGATTAGCCGGTATGCTCCCGGCCCGGGCCTTTTCCAAGTGGTGGCCCGGCCTTGGCTCCCTCTTTAGGGAGTGTCTGAGACCTAAGTCTCCCATGGGAGGAGGCACAAGTACCTCCTCATCTTTGGGACCAACTGTCCCCAGGCCTAGCCACAAGCTAGGCCTCTCTGGTCTGCCATCCCACCCCAAGGGGACTAATGGGAATGGCAGTCTTATGAGCTAAAGGCTCGGGCTTAGGCACCTACCCTACCCTAGAAGGGTTAGGCATGGTGTCGATATTATTTGAGAGGTGTCAACCCAATTTTAACCTCTAGAGCTCGAAAAATTCTTCCCATTACACTAACGTTTACATGGCTCATTCAAAGCAAAATGGCGACTCTCTTTCTTTTTTTCGATAACATACTTCTTTTAAAAATACAATATAGGGCATCTATTTACCTATAAATTACCGTATTTCTGGAAAATATATACAGTATTTTCCACATATACATTCATTCATATCTGTATATGTTTCGAGCTCATTTTGCCAATCGATGTTATTCATAGCTGCCATAAAGTTGTTAACTGCTGTCTCGTTATGTAGTCTGAAGGTTACTTTAGTAATGTTTTGTGGCAGTTTGCCCAGATTAGTTATGAGAAAGGTTGGGTAGTGGTCTGTAGTGTTGTCCGTGATTATGCCTGATTTTAAAGGGGATATGGTGTTTGTCCAGATGTGGTTTATTAAGGAGATGCTTGTCTCGGTGATTCTTGTAGGTTTAGAAATTGTTGGTAGCAACAGGCAGTTGCTCATTGTGTTTGTGAATTCGGTTACTTGTGGGTCCTGGTCGTGTAGTATGTTTATGTTGAAATCTCCTGTTAGTAGTAGGTGGTCTTTATGCATGTGTGCATCATCACAGTTTTTCACTAAAGTGGTAAGTGGTACTCTGTATATGTTTATAATTGTGAGTGGTGGGACAACAGGTGGGCTGTTTGAGTGTACCTGGAGTCCCACTGTTGTTTACAGTTTGCTGCGGTGATGGGACAACAGATGGACTTTGTTTACCGTGCTGGAACAAGAGGTTCAGCTGGGTCCAGGGACTGGGCCGCAAAATTTTGAGAAATGGGCAAGGTATGCTTGATTAAATAATTATGATTTTTTTTATAATAAGCAGTCAGGGTATTTTTCCATTTTTGGTAGTATACCACTGTCTACCTGGAGAAGGTTTCGGGGATCATCTCCCTTTGGACCGGTCTGTGACCAGGCCTATGGTGGATCAGGGCCTGGTCAACCAGGCTGTTACAGCTGGCCGACGTACGGCTGGTCAGGTACCGATTTTAGGTGCCTTTCCTGCACCTTGAAAACAGCCAGGGATCTATTGGTAATTTCCCTTATGTATGCTGGGAGGCAGATGAACAGTCTTGGGCCCCTGACACCTGTTGTGTTGTCTCTTTGCCCAAACCATTATCAGTGTTACCCAGTAGTCATACACAAAGAATAAATTTTGATAACCCTCTGGACTCATTTTTGCTTATACTGCAGTCATTACTTTTTTGTAGTCAGCGAATGTGTAGATTTGATTAAGTGCAACTTAATTTTGAGTAGAACTATTATTATTATGACAAGGGTCATTTTGAGTTGCAGTTAGTTTACAGAAATGGACACAGGTTTGGAATGAATTAACAAATGTTATTTTCCATTATTTATTTTGAAATGATACATAAGAAACAGCTGAGTTAAATGATTAACAAATTTTATACTTAACAGAAGTGACCTTAATATGCTTGTTAATTAAACTGAATAAAAATTTTATCATTATTGATGCTTTCTTTCCACAAGTGTAAATGTTACTACATATGTCATCAGATGTATGTGACATATTCAGACAGATGAATTACTCCTCACGGACAAGATATATATAATTAAGACTCGAGGAGTTACTTTCTTCAGGCGTGAGTGGCATGTATTTAGGCCATGAAGAGTTACTTGCTTCTGGTAGAACAGACATATATTTAGGCCACGGCGAGTTGCTTTCTTCTGGTAGGACAGGCATATGTTTAGGCCAAGGAGAGTTGCTTTCTTCTTCTGGTACGACAGGCATATATTTAGGCCTAGAAGAGTTGCTTTCTTCTGGTACGACAGGCATATATTTAGGCCACGGAGAGTTGCTTTCTTCTTCTGGTACGACAGGCATATATTTAGGCCTAGAAGAGTTGCTTTCTTCTGGTACGACAGGCATATATTTAGGCCACGGAGAGTTGCTTTCTTCTTCTGGTACGACAGGCATATATTTAGGCCTAGAAGAGTTGCTTTCTTCTTCTGGTACGACAGGCATATATTTAGGCCTAGAAGAGTTGCTTTCTTCTGGTACGACAGGCATATATTTAGGCCTAGAAGAGTTGCTTTCTTCTGGTACGACATGCATATATTTAGGCCTAGAAGAGTTGCTTTCTTCTTCTGGTACGACAGGCATATATTTAGGCCTAGAAGAGTTGCTTTCTTCTTCTGATACAACAGGCATATATTTAGGCCTAGAAGAGTTGCTTTCTTCTTCCGGTACGACAGGCATATGTTTAGGCCACGGAGACTTGCTTTCTTCTGGTACAACAGGCATATGTTTAGGCCTAGAAGAGTTGCTTTCTTCCTAGTAGGATAGGCATATACTTCGGTTTAGAAGAGTTACTTTCTTCTTCAGGTAGGATAGGCATGTACTTAGGAGGCGATGAATGATCTTCGTCAGCGGTAATAATTGGGCATATATTTAGGCTAAGATGAGTATCATTATTCCACAACTGAAAGTGGCAAATATTTAAGAAGAGGTACGTAACTTCCTTGTTGCGCATGTGAATGTCACTCACAGGTGAAGATACATGGAGGAGCAGGTCAAACACTGACCTGACCTTGGTTATCCATGATAAATCAGGTACGGGCTTTATACCAGGCACGAGCGATGCTGTGAAGATAGACAAACAATTACTAAATGATATATATGATATATGTAAGGCACCTGCAAATCTGAATATTTAGAACAAGTATTAAACAATGCTAAATAAAATGCAAGCAAATATATGTTTATTCACATGTTTTACTACTATGGCAGTGCCCTTTAAACAATAGTAACAATAACCTCTCATTCAACGAAAAGTGGATAATATCGACAAGTTGAAGGATTGATATGGCAAAGCTCCTAGTGGGCGAAGTCTCAATAAAAAAATGGACAGTTGGTGGATGGATCTTATTTGTCGGAATTACGTTAGACCAAGAATGAAATAATAAAAGACAGGACAAAGGTCCTGTTAAGTGTCTCTTCGATTTACGTAATGAACTGAAAACTGAAAAACAAAACTGAAGGTGCTTACGATTGGCTGCCGGAATGAACGGTTTGGGATGCCAGGGTCGGCATGTGATTAGTGTTACTCCAGACAGGAGCATCAAACACACTGATATGCTCATCATTGAAGACATTATTCTTGACTGTTGACTTCCAGGCGCCATCCCTGCTTTATATACCTGTCTTCTACTGCCACTACCAACACCACCACTACTACTACTACTATTACTACTACTACTACTATTACTACTACTACTACATCAACATCAATATTGACAACTTCACAGATGCAACTTGTCAATTTCTCAACAATTTATTCAGAAGCAGTATTGCTACAATAAAATATCACATTAGTTAAGAACATAAGAATCAAGGAACACTCCAACAGGCCTACTGATCCAGGCCTTTCTCAAAATCAACCATTTTCATCCACCTAAGGAATAAAGGGCACAATGCCCTGACTGGGACAATGCACAAATAACTCGCACATATGAGAAAGAAAGACATTTCGATCCGACTAGTTAATGGTCCAAGTCGGACCGAAAAGTTGGCATATGTGGGAGTTTTTTGTTATTGTCCCACAGTACACAATACGTGGGAGAGGCATCCAGAGATCTCCAGACACGTATTTCACAATATCAACATGTCGGTTCTCTGAACCATTCATCTACAAACAATACCAATACGCAGGCACAATGAACGATTTGAGAGAATATTAATATGGTATACAATACTGACAAGATGAAAAATTAGACACATGTGTAACATCTGGGTAAATTAGACACATGTGTAACATCTGGGTAAATTAGACACATGTGTAACATCTGGGTAAATTAGACACATGTGTAACATCTGGGTAAATTAGACACATGTGTAACATCTGGGTAAATTAGACACATGTGCAACTGTTAGGTAAGACACATATGCAACAGTTAGGTATCTTTATTGTGAAACGTTTCGCCTACACAGTAGGCTTCTTCAGTCAAGTACAGGAAAGGTTGATAGAAGCAGAAGATACTTGAAGACGATGTAATCAGTCCATCACCCTTAAAGTTTTGAGGTGGTCAGTCCCTCAGTCTGGAGAAGAGCATTGTTCCATAGTATGAAACAATATTGTTTCATACTATGGAACAATGCTCTTCTCCAGACTGAGGGACTGACCACCTCAAAACTTTAAGGGTGATGGACTGATTACATCGTCTTCAAGTATCTTCTGCTTCTATCAACCTTTCCTGTACTTGACTGAAGAAGCCTACTGTGTAGGCGAAACGTTTCACAATAAAGATACCTAACTGTTGCATATGTGTCTTACCTAACAACCTGTCGGTATTTTATACCATTTTAATGTTCACATGTGCAACTCTTGGGTATCTTTATTGAGGAAACGTTTCGCCACACAGTGGCTTCATCAGTCCATACAAAGGAGAATCTTGGAGAACAGTAGGAGAATGAGGTAATCAGTCCCTCAACCTTGAGTCGATGTGGTCAGTCCATCAATCTTGAATAGATAGACTGTTCTTCAAGATTCTCCTTTGTATGGACTGATGAAGCCACTGTGTGGCGAAACGTTTCCTCAATAAAGATACCCAAGAGTTGCACATGTGTCTAATTTATCAACGTGTCGGTTCTCTGAACCATTCATCTACAATCCTGTCAGACACTGCAACTTCTTGGGATCTTAATACTTGGGAATTCTTCGCTTGCCTAACCCTTGGGCACGACCTACTTCCACATTGAACAAATGTGACACCTCCTACGACTGCTGCACCTCTCCTGCCTAAGGTATATAAGCTCCTCCGCATATATGCCGTATTCTATTCAAGATTGATGGACTGACCACATCGACTCAAGGTTGAGGGACTGATTACCTCATTCTCCTACTGTTCTTCAAGATTCTCCTTTATATGGACTGATGAAGCCACTGTGTGGCGAAACGTTTCCTCAATAAAGATACTGGATGGCGAAACGTCTACAATAAAGATATCCAGATGTTGCACTTGTGTCTAAACTTTCATAGTGTCGGTATTTTATACCTTCCTTGCACATATCCAAGAGTTGCACATGTTGATAAATTAGACACATGTGCAACTCTTGGGTATCTTTATTGAGGAAACGTTTCGCCACACAGTGGCTTCATCAGTCCATACGTAGGAGAAACTTGAAGAACAGGAGGAGAATGAGGTAATCAGTCCCTCAACCTTGAGTCGATGTGTTCAGTCCATCAATCTTGATGGACTGAACACATCGACTCAAGGTTGATTTAGATTATGCTGCTCAGTTTTGGTCCCCTTACTACAGGATGGATATAGAACATAAGAACATAAGAAATGAGGAACACTGCAGGAGGCCTGTTGGCCCATACTAGGCAGGTCCTTTACAATTCATCCCACTAACAAAACATTTGCCCAACCCAATTTTCAATGCCACCCAAGAAATAAGCTCTGATGTGAAAGTCCCACTCAAATCCAACCCCTCCCACTCATGTACTTATCCAACCTAGATTTGAAACTACCCAAAGTCCCAGCCTCAATAACCCAACTAGGTGGTAATAAATGGTATAAAATACCGACACAATGGAAATATAAACACAAATGCAGTATAATGTGATCCTTTATTGACAACGTTTCACCCACACAGTGGGCTTTCTCAAGTCACACACGGATCTACCTGGGGTTGGAAGGTACGAGAGTATTTATAGTCAGAATGTTGAGGTCAGGTGAAGAATGCTGCATCTGATGATCCACCGGGTGGGGTTATAGAGTCTTGGGTAGCTTGGCAGGGGTATTGGACAAGTTGTAGACCTTCTGCAGTGTTCTATGTTCTTATGTGGGATAGCGATGAAGAAGTTTCTTGGCGAGTGGTTCAGCTATGTTATAGAAGCCATTGTTCTGGTTGAAATTGTTGGTTATAGAGATAAGAACATAAGAACATAAGAAACATAAGAAAGGAGGAACACTGCAGCAGGCCTGTTGGCCCATACTAGGCAGGTCCTTTACAATTCATCCCACTAACAAACATTTGACCCACCCAATTTTCAATGCTACCCAAGAAATAAGCTCTGATGTGCAAGTCCCACTCAAATCCAACCCCTCCCACTCATGTACTTATCCAACCTAAATTTGAAACTACCCAAAGTCCTAGCCTCAATAACCCAACTAGGTAGACTGTTCCACTCATCAACTACCCTATTTCCAAACCAATACTTGTGCAACATCTGGGTATCTATAGACGTTTCGCCACCCAGTGGCTTTATCAATACAAATTCTAGGACATAACTTGAAGACAGTAGAACTATGTACAGAAGATGAGGTAATCAGTCCCTCAACCTAGGAGTAGGTGCGAACAGCACCATAGTCGTGGAGATTCTGAATCTCCAGAATCTGAATCTTTCAGAATCTCCACGACTATGGTGCTGTTCGCACCTACTCCTAGGTTGAGGGACTGATTACCTCATCTTCTGTACATAGTTCTACTGTCTTCAAGTTATGTCCTAGAATTTGTATTGATAAAGCCACTGGGTGGCGAAACGTCTACAATAAAGATACCCAGATGTTGCACATGTGTCTTACTCTCATCTTGTCGGTATTATATACCATTCGTACACAAACCAATACTTGCCTATGTCCTTTCTAAATCTAAACTTATCTAATTTAAATCCATTACTGCGGGTTCTCTCTTGGAGAGATATCCTAAAGACCTTGTTAATATCCCCTTTATTAATACCTATCTTCCACTTATACACTTCGATCAGGTCTCCCCTCATTCTTCGTCTAACAAGTGAATGTAACTTAAGAGTCTTCAATCTTTCTTCATAAGGAAGATTTCTAATGCTATGTATTAATTTAGTCATCCTACGCTGAATGTTTTCTAACGAATTTATGTCCATTCTGTAATATGGAGACCAGAATTGATCTGCATAATCTAGGTGAGGCCTTACTAATGATGTATAAAGCTGCAGTATGACCTCTGGACTTCTGTTGCTTACACTTCTTGATATAAATCCCAGTAATCTATTTGCCTTATTACGTACGCTTAGGCATTGCTGTCTTGGTTTAAGGTTGCTGCTTACCATAACCCCCAAGTCCTTTTCGCAATCTGTATGGTTAAGATCTACATTATTTAACTTATAAGTGCTAGGGTTATGGACACTCCCGAGCTTCAGAACCTTGCATTTATCTACATTGAACTGCATCTGCCACTTTTCTGACCAAGAGTAGATTATTATTATAATCAAGGGGGAAGCACTAAACCCGTAGGATTATACAGCGCCTATGGGGGGATGGAAGGCATTCAGGCTTAATTCAGGGAACTGGAGCACAGATCCAATTCCCTAGATCAAGAGCCCCTCACCAGCGTCAAGGAGCCTTCCTTGAGGGGGACCAAGAGTAGAGTTTGTCTAAATCCTCCTGAAGTTCCCTAACATCTACGTTTGAATCAATTATCCTACCTATCTTCGTGTCATCGGCGAATTTGCTCATATCACTAGTAATTCCTTCATCAAGATCATTGATATATATTATAAACAACAACGGGCCCAAGACTGATCCCTGTGGAACGCCACTTGTTACTGATCCCCACTCGGATTTAACCCCATTTATGGACACTCTTTGCTTCCTGTCTGTGAGCCATGATTCGATCCACGAGAGCACCCTTCCCCCAATGCCATGAGCTGCTACTTTCTTCAAACAGTCTTTGGTGCGGAACTCTATCAAATGCCTTACTAAAATCTAAGTAAATAATATCAAATTCTTTATCGTGGTCAACAGCCTCAAAAGCTTTACTGAAGAAAGTTAATAAATTAGTTAGACAAGACCGGGCCTCTTGTGAATCCATGCTGAGTATCATTAATCAAGCTATGCTTATCGAGATGGCTTCTTATAATCTCAGCTATAATTGACTCTAGTAATTTGCCTACAATTGAGGTCAGGCTTATTGGGCGGTATTTGACGGTAACGACTTGTCCCCTGTTTTAAAAATAGGAATTACATTAGCCATCTTCCACATATCAGACACTGCACCTGTTTGAAGAGATAAATTAAAAATATTAGTTATGGTTCACAGACTTCCATTTTGCATTCCTTTAGAACCCTTGAAAAAACCTCATCAGGACCCGGTGACTTATTTTGCTTCAGTCTGTCTATCTGCTTCACAACCATTTTCACTAGTGACTGTGATGTTACATAATTTATCTTCTTCTGATCCACTATAAAAATTAATTACCGGAATATTATTAGTGTCTTCCTGTGTAAAAACCGAGAGAAAATAATTATTTAAAATCGAGCACATTTCATTCTCTTTGTCAGTAAGATGCCCATAGTTATTTTTAAGGGGACCTATCTTATCTCTGACTTTTGTTCTATAGACCTGGAAAAAACTTTTTGGGTTAGTTTTAGAATTCCTAGCAACTTTAATTTCATAGTCCCTTTTAGCTTTTCTTATCCCCTTTTTAATGTCCCTCTTAATGTCAATATACTGATTTATAAGATGACCCTCGCCTCTTTTGATACGCCTATAAATTCCTTTCTTATGCCCTAGTAGATATTTCAGCCTATTATTCATCCATTTTGGGTCATTTCTATTTGATCTAATTTCCTTATAAGGGATAAACGTTCTTTGAGCAGCATGTATTGTGTTCAGAAAACTGTCATATTGATAGCTCTCTTCGTTACCCCAGTCAACAGATGATAAGTGTTCTCTAAGCCCATCGTAATCTGAACATTAAAATGGTATAAAATACCGACAGATTGTTAGGTAAGACACATATGCAACAGTTAGGTATCTTTATTTCGAAACGTTTCGCCTACACAGTAGGCTTCTTCAGTCGAGTACAGAAAAGTTGATAGAAGCAGAAGATACTTGAAGACGATGTAATCAGTCC